CACACACACACACACCAAAAAAGAAACAGTCCAGACAGGAAGCTATTGAAGAGAGTCCTTAAAAACTGTGATAAAGATGCTGAAGTGTAGCTTTTCACAGTTGATGGCTTCTGGCAGGGGTGGGGGTGGGGAAGAACTTCGTTTTCCTTAAGGAGCTGGCGACTGGGAGTTTGACCATGCTCCACTGAGTATGTGGCAACAGAAATTGGATTTGGTGTATTTTTCTTTTTTTGAGGTGGGGGACACACAAAGGTAGGAGGGTGACCTGGGAGGAATGGGAAGTGAGTGTGATTGGAGTGCATTGTATGAAATTCCCAAATAATTAGCAAAAATATTATGTTGGGAAAAAAGGAAAAGAAAATGCCTCAAAGACTTGATTAAAGACCAATATAATAGAGGCATTTTTTTTTCTATTAAGGATCTCAGTTGAACTGATCTTGTGTCAAGCTGAGAAAAAACAAATCAACACGAATACTGAAGATGAAAATATGAAGAGGCGAGGACTGCAGATGGCTGAGCACGTAAACACGTACTGCTCTTAGAGAGACCCTGAGTTGGCTTTTAGTGCCCACTTAAGGTGGCTAACAACCACCTGGAACTGCAGCTCCACAGAAATCTGTGTCAGCTTCTGCTCTCCCAGAGTGCCTGTGACTTATGTCACATACTCCCACCCCATGTACACATAAGAAAAAGGCTTTAAAAGAATCAGATATGGCCAGATTTGGTAATATGCTCTTTTAATTCCAGCAGAAGCAGATAGATTTCTGTGAGGTTGAGGCTGGCTTTGTTTTCATAGCAAGTTTCAGGACAGGCAGGGTTACATAGTGAGTCTCTAATTTAAAAAAAAAAAAAAAACCAGGGATGAAAAGAAACATTACAATGGATACCTCAGAAATGGATAATTTCCTGAACCCATACACGTCACTAAGGCTGAACTGTCAAGTAGAGGAAAACTAAAGAAATCAATAACAAATAATGAAACTACATCAGTGATTAAAAAAAAAAATAGTCTCCCATCAAAGAAACGCCCAGGACAAGACAACTGCACTGCTGAGTTCTATCAAACATTTAAAGAAGAACTGATGTCATGTTCTTCTTAAACTATTCCACAAAACTGAATCGAGTATGAGGCAGTCTCTCCAAACACAGTCAATGATGCCAGCCTTATCCTGTTGTTACTCCAGCCACACCAGAACATCTCAGTTCTAACAGGTTAATAACCCTGATATAAACTGATATAACCCTGATGAACACAGACATAAAAACCCTCAACAAAATATTAGCAAACATTAAAATGATCATTATCATTATTCATAATAAACATATGTAAATCAATAAGCAAAATAAACCACCAAAATAAAGGACAAAAACTATTTGATCACCTCAGTCCATTAAAAATGCCTTTGATAAAATTAAACATTCAACACTAAACAAGTTAGGTATAGAAAGAATATATATATACACACACGATAATGGCAAATATAATAAGCTAACATATAATCTCATACTGCACGAGAAAAAGCTGAAAGCATTCTCTCACAATATCCAGAACAAGACCATCACTTGTACTCAGCCCAGCACTGAAAGCCCTAGGCAGAACAGTCAAGCAAGGAAGAGAAATGAGGGCATCTATATTGAAAAGAGGATGCCAAATTGTTGCCATTTGCAGATGGCATGATCTTACATAGAGAAAAACAGACTCCACCAAACACCTATGGGAATTAATACACAAATTTAGCAATGTTGCAAGATATAAGATGTAAAAATTAGTGTTGTTAAATACCAATAGCAAATTATCTAAAATAGAAATCAAGAAAGTTATCCCATTTCTCAGTAACTATAAAAAATAAAATGCATATGAGTACATCTAACCAAACGGGTGAAAAATCTCTACAGTGAAAATTATATACAATAGAACTTAAAAACTGAAGAAAAACACAATAAATTGAAATACATTCTGTGTTTATAGATCGGATGAATCAATACTATCAAAATGTACATATAGATAAAAGTTGTCCATAGATTCATTATAATCCCTATCAAAGCCATTCTTCATAGAACCAGGGAAAACAACCCTAAGAGTTCTCTAGGAAACTCATGCATACACATATGCAAATGCACAGACACCCACATGCACATACACACACATGCACACACATATGCATGCACATACAAAAGCTTTAATAGTTAAAACAATATTTAGCAACAAAAAGCAGAAGGAATTATGCTAAATAATTTCAAAATAAACTGCAAAGTTGTAATAACCAGCAGCATGAAGCTGACAGACAGACACACAAGAACCAACAGGACAAGGAACATGCCCATGGATCCACACCACAACCAAATGACTGACTTCTAACAAACACTGGCAACACACAGGGGATAAAATAACTTATCACTTAAATAATG